GGTGGTGCATGCCTTTAATCCCAGTACTTGGGAGGCAGAGGCAGGTGGATCTTTGTGAGTTCGAGGCCAGCCTGGTCTACATAGTGAGTTCCAGGTCAGCTGGGGCTACAAGGAGACCCTGTCGCAAAAACAAAAACAACAACAACAAAATATCATAGTATATAATCAATCATTATAATAGGGCCTGGGATGTGACTCAGTTCATAGAATGCTTACCTAGCATTCCTGATGCCTTTGATTCAATTCCTAGCACCAAGTAAACTGGGTATGATGGTGCATGCTTGTAATCAGTACTTGGGAGGTGGAGGCACAAGGATCAGAAATTCAAGGTCCATCCACAATCACAGTGAGTTTGAAGCCAGCCTAGGCTACATTAGATCCCATCATAAAACAAAATGCCAAAAATAGTTAATAGTTAAGATAACATTCCATTTTGTAAAAGCTAAGGGTGGATGATTTTCCCAGACTTACATAGCTAATAAATGCTAAAAATTAGGACTCTTAACCAGGTTTTCTGATGTAGTATGTGCCCAGTTGCTGTTCATGTCTAATCTAAGATTAATTTGAAAAAATAATAATTTATTTTTTATTTAAAACTTGTCACTTAATCCAGGCCCCGGATATGAATAAACCTCACATGCATAATTTTCATGGAGTATGTGAGAAATATTTTTGTATGACTGTTAAAAAAAAAAGTCAACACTGTCCTATCACCAAAACTCTATTCAGCCTTATGCTTTATCCTTAAGATCTGGCTCCAAAGGTCTCTTTTTTTAGTTTAGGGCCACAGCCCATGAAAAAGGGTAGTGGTTTGTTGAAAATGGAATGAATTAAAGGAGGACAGATGTTTAGCACTCACATGGTTTTAAATACAAAGAAAAATTATCAAAAATATAATATCTGTACACATTTGTAGCCTTTTCTAACATTTACCAATTATTGGGATTCAAGTTTTGTCTTAGACCTACAGTTTTATGCTTTTATATTTTGCCTTTTAGGTAGAGTGCGTAGCTTAAGTACATCTCTCTGGTCATTGACACACTTGACAGCATTGCACCTAAATGACAATAACCTTGCTCGCATTCCACCTGATATTGCCAAGCTTCATAATCTGGTTTACCTGGATCTGTCATCCAATAAACTCAGAAGTTTACCAGCAGAACTAGGAAACATGGTGTCTCTCAGGTGAGGAAATAAGAAAGACATGAATCATTATGTAAAATTATACATTTACCGAGTAAGAAAGTTACAGTTTGTTATTTTATTGTGGGACTTCTATATTTGTGAAGATCAAATAATAGAAATGGTCTTAAGCATTTTTTGTTATTGTTTTCTTTTACCAGTTATCTGAATGTTTAGAAAAATTATTTTTCAGTTATGTACTAATGAAAGTGTTTGAGAACTTTCCTGATACCAACTTGTGTCAGTGATTGTTTATTAGTGTATGTTTTGTCTTTTCATGTTTTTTTTTCTTTTTTTCTTTCTCTTTTTTTCCCCTTCATTTATTTGTGTATGTGTGTGAAGGTCCAGTTCTCTCCTTATACCATTTGGGTTCTGGGGATCAAGTTCACGTCCTCAGTCTTTGTGTCAAATGTCTTTATCTACTGAGTCATCGTACCAGCCCTCTTTTCGTTTTTTCTGTTTACTAACTGTTAACTTCTATGATATACTACCTTGTTCTGTATTTCTCTTTGTGTTTTTAAAATTTATTTTTCATAGTATTTTGAGATGACTTGAGCCATAATTAGTTTTAACAGATGAGGCAGGGAATTGGCTACTAATTATACTTTAATCCTAAAGTTGGTATAAAAATTTGCTATTTTCTGACTCGAACTTGATTCAAGGTTATCTGTTGCCTAATTGTTTTTGGATACTGAAAACATCTCTTACTCTTATTTGCAACTAATAGCCTTTTGAATGAGAGAAAAGAGTTGATTTAGTCTGAGAATGAGACTCAATTCATACACTTCCTACTTTTTTCTATGCTAGAGATAGAGTAAATCGTAGAAATACTGTTAGTAATTATAGCACTTTAATAATAGTGTACAGCATTTTTGACTCAACGTGGAGAAATGCCTTGAATGTAAACATGACTCCTGGTTTGTTAGAAGAGAGGCTAAGAATAACAAATGTTTTTAATAAAACTTGGTGTATTAAACTAAAATCTTTTTTTAAAACAGGGAATTGCTTTTAAATGACAATTATTTACGGGTTTTGCCTTATGAACTTGGCCGGCTCTTCCAGCTACAAACTCTAGGTTTAACAGGTGAGTAACTTTTAAAAAAATTGATAGTGTTAACATCTTTGAAGTATTATGATGCTTTTAAAGACCATTTTGGTTAGAAGTATGTCAGGTTTTAGTATGATTTTGAGAATGTGAGGAGGGTAGGCTGAAGGCATTTACATATGTAATAGTAGAGATAGAGACACTGTCTTTACCTTCCTCATCTCCCATCCCCTCCCTTTCCCTCTCTTCTTGTCACCCTCTTTTTTTGAGATAAGGTCACATTGTAGCTCAGGTTGGCCTTGAACTCTCAACAATCTTTCTGCATTCTCCCAGAGTGCTGGGATTAACAAATGTGAGCCACCACTCCTAGCTTCAGTTTATTTCCTATATGCTGTCTTATATAGGTGAAACTCATTCACCTAGTAGTAGAATATAGCCAAGTCTATTCTTCTTTATTGAAAAATTTTGAGATAAGGTCACATTGTAGCTCAGGTTGGCCTTGAACTCTCAACAATCTTTCTGCATTCTCCCAGAGTGCTGGGATTAACAAATGTGAGCCACCACTCCTAGCTTCAGTTTATTTCCTATATGCTGTCTTATATAGGTGAAACTCATTCACCTAGTAGTAGAATATAGCCAAGTCTATTCTTCTTTATTGAAAAATTGTGAAATTGTTGTCTTTATTATTATTATTATTGTCCTTATACTCTGATATCCCTGCTACTGTCTGCTGTGCTGTCGGCACCCCAGCCATTCCTCACTACTTGTCCATCTGGTGAATCTAGTCAGCCAATCTAGAGGTCTTTGTTTTAGGAGGGTCAGCTGTTCCTCGTGTAGCCGTAATCAGTTGGAATAGGTCTGCTGTTCATTTTCCCAGTTCTGTGCTGGGTTACTATCTGGGAATCCCTTTGGCCACCCTGGCCAACAACTCAAAAGAAGGTATCGCCTGTCTTCCATTCATGAAGCATGAGATTTATACTTTCTAACCTATTGTAATAAACTATAATTTTTTGTCTTTAGTAAAAATTACCGTTATTTTGTTTAGCACTGATCAGAGTAATTATTTTCTACAGTCTGATATTACTTATAGAGAGCTCATTAATGACACATTAAAAATGTAAAATTGTACCCAGAAAATTAACTTTTTGAACCAGGCAACATTGCTGAAAAAGGAAATGTTAATATTAATACTTTAACATGACTCGTGTCACCTTGCATAAAGACATGGTCCCAGAAATTTACACTAAAGTGCCAACTAAATGAATTATTATTATTTGTAAATTCTTTGTTACTAGTTAAAACAGTCTTAAAACTGTTTCTAGGGCTGGCTATGTAACTCAGTGCTGAAGTGCTTGCCTAGAATGTACAAAGCCTTGGATTCAATCTTCAGCAGCACCAAAAACAATACAAAACAAAATAAAAAAATGAAAGTACCTTTTTTTTGTATTAATACAAGTTAATTAAAAAGTCTTCTCAAGTCAAAAGGATTGTCATACTACATAAAAGAAAAACATCTATGTGTGAGCTATAGGAAATGTGATTTAGATTCATAAAATTAAAAAAAAATTTCAGATACCTAATCTGTTAAGTCATGTGCCAACTCCTCTTCACCAATTTTAGCTTAACTTTGTTCATGCCTGTGGAAACATTGCTTCTATTAAACTTAAATTGGTTCTTTGGTAAGTTTAGATTGAATAGTGTTTTGCATTTTTTTTCTTCTTTCTGAATTTTTGCTATTTATATATACATAATGAGATCTCTGAGGATCTGTTCATTTGTATTTTATGCACACTTCATACACATGGTAGTTTTATAGACTATTTTTAGTGTACCTGAGTTTTGACTGTGATCTATCACAAGAGGCTAGGTGTGGAATTTTCCATTTATGTCATGTCTCATTTTGGCACACAGAAAATTTTGGATTTTTTAGCCTCCCTCCCTCCCTCCCTCCCTCCCATCTTCCTTTCTTCCTTTCTTCAGCTAAAAGACACTTTTACTTGCGTTTAAAAGAAAAATCTCCAGGTCAGACAAGCTGTAAATCTCAGCACCCACCTGGGGGAGGAGAATGGAGGAGAGAAGAAAAAAGCCATGCCATTTTAAGCCTGTATGGAGGTCAGCCACATTGAGGACTAGCAACCACATGGCGGGAGGTGAGCTTTAGAAAAAGAGTAAGGAAGCTCAAAATGTTGGGGAAGCACAACGTGTTAGAAAGGAGATAGAAAGAAGAAAAGGAGAGATTACACTTTTATGAAGAATGCAGAAAACTGGGCAGACTTAGTAAGCTGCATGTCTGTGACCTGATAAGCTGCTGTTGATTTTGTAGCATTCTGATTTTTTTTTTTTTTTTTTTGCCTTTTCTTTTTGTCTTTTAAAAGATATGATCTTGCTGTGTAGCCAAGACTGGCATCTCAAGACTTGGCAACTCCCAAGTGCTGGGATTACAAGTGTGTGCCATCATGGCTGCCTGCATTTCTGAATTCTGATTTTTTTCAGTTTGAATGTTCAACCTGTATTCAGCCTTTTTCTCTTCTTTAGGATGTGCTTTATTTTTATTCAGTACCATTTACTATTCAAGTGATTACAGAAGAGCAGGAACTTGTAAAAAGAAAACAAAAACAGAGCTCTTCCAGCCTTTTAAAAAAGTTTGAGATGCTAAAAACGAGAATACCTTCCTGAAGTGGTTGAAGGAATAAAATGTCCCTAACAAATGACAGCTTTATAAATACTTAGGAAGGTAACATTTGAAATGATTTCTAAATCAGTGTTTAGCCACACTCTTTTACTATATATAGGGGAAGAGGATGTGGCGTATGTACATACACGGAGAGAGAGAGAGAGAGAAGTGAATGAAGCATTTAGAATAGCACTGTTAAAGACACAGTAAGAATGAACATAATGATTTGTATTAGCCTATTAGCCTGGCCTAACAAGCTAAGTTTTAGACATTATATTTTGAGATCTGCATAGTGTATCTGCAAGGATAATTTGAAATTCAAAGAACACTAATTTTAAAACCATAGACATGGCCAATACAGTAAGTTAGAAATTTTTTTAAAAGTTATTTATTTTCTGTGTATGAGTGTATTGCCTGCATATAAGTATGTAACTGCACCCATGCCATTCAGTGCCCATGGAGACCAGAAGAGCACATCAAATCCCGTGGAACTGGCATCACAGATAGTTGTTAGCTGCCATGTAGGTCCTGGGAATTGAACCTGGGTCCTCTGCAAGAGACATCAGTGCTTTCAACTGCTGAGCCATCTCTCCAGCCCTGCAGATGTTTTCTTAAGTCACTTAAAAGTGTAAATGTTGGGACTAAAGAGATGACTCAGTAGTTAAGAGTGCATCCTGCTCTTACAGAGGTGTCAAGTTCAGTTCCTAGCACTCATGTTAGGCTCCAACTCCAGGGGACGTGACTCCCTCTTCTGATTTCTGCAGTCACCTGGACTCATGCACAGTCCCCCACACATATAACATATATACACATAATTTTAAAAAAAATCCGTAAAAAGCCCAGATGTTTTAATTTTATGGAAAAGACACAACTAAAAGGAATTTTTATACAGTTTTAAAATAATGTAGAACGTATGTCCTGAAGACAAAAAGCAATATTCTTTCTGACATGTGGACCAATCTGCTGGGCTCAAATATTCATGTTCCAAGCCATAAAAATATGTAGATCTTAACTGTTACTAAAAATAGCTTACCTTGTTTAATATAAAATTTGATTTATTCAGGACTTGAAGGATGGCTCAGTGTTTAAGAGCACTCCCAGCACCCACATGACAGCTAATAAGGGCCCTTAACTCCACTTCCAGGGGATCTGATGCCCTCTTCTGACCTATGCAGGTGTTGCATAACATGGATGCACTTAAATACATGTAGGAAATACATTCTACACATAAAATATTTAAAATTTGTTTTGATTTATTCATAAAATATAAGAGGAATAGTATATATTTTAAAAGAAAATAAGTAAATGAAAATTATACACCCATCACCCAATTGTCTCAATACTTCAAAAATGTACTTGAAAAAATGTAATTATTCATTTTCAGGAGGCGAAGTATATATTTCTGTGTTATATATGAGTTTCTAGAAATCACTAAGAGAATAGTGTAGTAGTAAATGAATACTAATAATTCATGTGAAAGTATATACATATGTCTTTATAATATGGATAATGGATCAGCCTTTTTATGATAATAGTCATGTAAATGATAGGTGTATATTTTTGCTATTTTATACTTAACAGATTGGGAGAATTAAAAAGTTTGATAAAATAGTTTTATTGATAAGATTTATAGGGTTATAGGCACAGTACAACCTTGTTGGTGTAAATCCATTTTACATTTTGTTTTCTATGTATTTTTTTCATGATTGCAGCTTTTGCTTTCTTCCAGAGGTTACAATTTAAGATGTTGGAATTATGTATGTATTTGTTAAAGGTGTACTAACCTTTATATAAATGGAGTCCTCCTGAATACATTTTCCTGTGACTTTCTTTTCAACATTGTTTTTATGATTTAGCCATACTGATGCATACATTTAATTAAATGCCATTTTTTTGCTTCTGTATTTTGCTAGATGAATATACTATAATTTAGTCTGTTTATTTCCTTTTGTCTTCTCTTTGTTTTTTCCCCTCTTCTCTCCCCTCGTCTCTGTCTCCTCCTTTCCCCTTCCCTCTACTTCCTTCTGCTCCCCTCCTCTCCCTGCCCCTCACCTCTCTTCCCCACCCCTTTCCTTCTCTCTACCCCTTCCTCCTCCTCCCTTCTTCCCCTCCCCCCCTTTCTTTTTTGACACAGTCAGTAGAGCCATGAACACTGTAGTTTGGGTTGTAAAAGTCCATGGATCCTTATCTTTGTTAGGTAATGCCATAGTGTTTTACAAAGTAGTTGTATTAAACTATTCTTCCAAAATAACCCTCCTGCTCCTCCCCTCCCTTCCCCTCCCCTTTTGTGTTATAAATGTCTTCTCTTACTTAGAGCTTTTTTATTTCCTCATACATATCTTTTGATGAATAGATAGGAATTTTA